CCTTGGGGCTCCACCGCCCCTGACAGGGAATGTGGTGGTATTACCACCTCTGACAGGAGCCCTGAGAGCGTCCCTCTTTCTGGGAGGGCCCCTGAGGTGCACCACCACCTCTGGCAATGCCCATGGTAGATCTCCAGTGGGCGCCACCGCCCCTGGGAGGGCTCCTGGAGGCGATACCGCCCCGGGTAGGGCCCTTAGGAGCACCGCTATTCCTGGGAGAGCTCCTGTGGGCACCACGACCCCTGGCAGGACCCCTGGGATGGTCCCAGTGCCACCGTCGCCCCTGGGAGGGACCATGGGGGCACCACCATCCATTGCAGGGTCCCTTAGGGTACCAACGCCCCTAGGGGCGTCACCGAACCTGGAAGGACCCCTGGGAGCACTAGCGTTTTTGGCAGGGCCCCTGGGAGGGCTCCAGGGAGTACCACCGCCTCTGAGAGGGCTCCTGCCGAAGTCACAGCCCCTAGAAGGGCTCCTGGGGGCACCACCGCCCCTAGCAGTGCTCCTACGGGCGCTGCTCTCCCTGGGAGGGCCGCTGAGAGCTTCACTGTCCCTGCAACGGCCCCTGGGGGCGTCAAAACCTGAGAGATATGACGTTAAATAGATACACCGTCCATCGCATTTCCAGTATCATCGTATCCTGAACAATGAAAAGGAGAATAAATATCCAACAGGAAAACATGAATTTGGGTGTTGTGCCGACTGATTGCTCTGTTCTCATATTGCCTTTAATTTGGTGGATTTACATTTTATTCCACCAATCAGAGTTAAGTAAGGAATTGCTGGACGTATGCAATATTGTCGACACCACGCTCAATCCCCTAGGGGGTGTGCTTTCCATGGGAGGCCCCCTGAGAACACCACCACACCTGGCAGGGCCCCTGGGCGGGCCCCAGTGGGCGCCGCCGTCCCTGGAAGGGCCCCTGGTTGTGCCACCACCTCTGGCAGGGCCCCTGGGCGGGCCCCAATGGGCGACGCCATCCCTGGAAGGGCCCTTGGTGGTGCCACCGCCCCTGGAAGGGCCCCTGGGGACGCCACCGCCTCTGGGAGGGCCCCTGTGGGAATTACCTTCCCTGGCAGGACCGCCGAGGGTACCACTGTCCCTGGGAAGGCCCCTGTGGGCGCCGCTGTCCCCGCAAGAGCCGGTGTGGACACCAGAGCCCCTATCAGAGCCCCTGGGGACGCTACTGCCTCTGGGATGGGACCTGGAAGAGTCACCACCTCTGGCAGGGCCCCAGAGGGCGTCCCTGGGAGGGCTCCTGTTGGCACCACTACCCCTGGGAGATCCAATTGGGCGCCGTCGTCCCTGTGAAGGACCCTTGGGGCTCCATCGCCCCTGACAGGGAACCTGGTGGCATTACCACCTCTGACAGGAGCCCTGAGAGCGTCCCTGTTTCTGGAAGGGCCCCTGAGGGGCACCATTGCCTCGGGCAATGCCCATGGTACATCTCCAGTGGGCGCCACCGCCCCTCGGAGGGCTCCTGGAGACGATACCGCCCCTGGCAGGGCCCTTAGGAGCACCGCTATCCCTGGGAGAGCTCCTGTGGGCACCACAACCTCTAGCAGGACCCCTGGAATGGTCCCAGGGTCACCGTCGCCCCTGGGAGGGACCATGGGGGCACTACCGTCCCTTGCAGGGTCCCTTGGGGTACCAACGTCTCTAGGGGCGTCACCGCACCTGGAAGGACCCCTGTTAGCACTACCGCCCCTCGCAGAGCCCTTGGGAGGGCTACAGGGAGCACCACCTCCTCTGGGAGGGCTCCTGCAGACGTCACCGCACCTGGAAGGGCTCCTAGGGGCGCTGCTGTTTCTGGGAGGGCCGCTGAGAGCGCCACTGTCCCTGCAAGGGCACCTGGGGGCGCGACCGCCTGAGAGATATGACGTTAAATAGATACACCGTCCATCGCATTTCCAGTATCATCATATCCTGAACAATGAAAAGGAGAATAAATATCCAACAGGAAAACATAAATTTGGGTGTTGTGCCGACTGAATGCTCTGTTCTCATATTGCCTTTAATTTGGTGGATTTACATTTTATTCCACCAATCAGAGTTAAGTAAGGAATTGCTGGACGTATGCAATATTGTCGACACCACGATCAAGCCCCTAGGGGGTGTGCTTTCCATTGGAGGCCCCCTGGGAGCACCACCACCCCTGGCAGGACCCCTGGGAGGGTCTCAGTGGGCGCCGCCGTCCCTGGAAGGGCCCCTGGTGGTACCACCGCCCCTGGAAGGGCCCTTGGGGACGCCATCGCCTCTGGGAGGGCCCCTGTGGAAATCACTTTCCCTGGAAGGGCCCCTGAGGGTACCACTGTCCCTGGGAAGGCCCCTGTGGTCGCTGCTGTCCCCGCAAGAGCCCCTGGGGGCACCAACACCGATGTCACAACCCCTGGGTACGCTACTGCCTCCGGGATGGCACCTGGGAGAGTCACCGTCTCTGGTAAGGCCCCAGAGGGCGTCCCTGGGGGGGCTCCTGTGGGCACCACTACCCCCGGGAAGGTCCCAGGGGAGCACCCACCGCCCCTGGGAGGGCGCCCCTGGGAGGGAGCCTTGGGGCTCCATCGCCCCTGACAGGGAATGTGGTGGCATTACCACGCTACTGACAGGAGCACCAGAGCGTCCCTCTAGGGAGGGTCAAGGTGCACCACCACCTCTGGGAGCAGAGAGGGCCCCTGAGGTGGGCAATGCCCATGGTAGATCTCCAGTGGGCGCCACCGCCCCTGGAGGGCTCCTGGAGGCGATACCGCCCCGGGCAGGGCCCTTAGGAGCACCGCTATTCCTGGGAGAGCTCCTGTGGGCACCACGACCCCTGGCAGGACCCCTGGGATGGTCCCAGTGCCACCGTCGCCCCTGGGAGGGACCATGGGGGCACCACCATCCCTTGCAGGGTCCCTTAGGGTACCAACGCCCCTAGGGGCGTCACCAAACCTGGAAGGACCCCTGGGAGCACTAGCGCCCCTGGCAGGGCCCATATGAGGGCTCCAGGGAGTACCACTGCCTCTGAAAGGGCTCCTGCAGACGTCACGGCCCCTGGAAGGGCTCCTGGGGGCACCACCGCCCCTAGCAAGGCTCCTAGGGGCGCTGCTGTCCCTGGGAGGGCCGCTGAGAGCTTCACTGTCCCTGCAACGGCCCCTGGGGGCGCCACCACCTAAGAGATATGACGTTAAATAGATGATGCACCGTCCATCGCATTTCCAGTATCATCGTATCCTGAACAATGACAAGGAGAATAAATATCCAACAGGAAAACATAAATTTGGGTGTTGTGCCGACTGAATGCTCTGTTCTCATATTGCCTTTAATTTGGTGGATTTACATTTTATTCCACCAATCAGAGTTAAGTAAGGAATTGCTGGACGTATGCAATATTGTCGACACCACGCTCAAGCCCCTAGGGGGTGTGCTTTCCATGGAAGGCCCCCTGGGAGCGCCACCACCCCTGGCAGGACCCCTGGGAGGGTCTCAGTGGGCGCCGCCGTCCCTGGAAGGGCCCCTGGTGGTACCACCGCCCCTGGAAGGGCCCTTGGGGACGCCACCGCCTCTGGGAGGGCCCCTGTGGAAATCACTTTCCCTGGAAGGACCCCTGAGGGTACCACTGTCCCTGGGAAGGCCCCTGTGGTCGCTGCTGTCCCCGCAAGAGCCCCTGGGGGCACCAACACCCCTGTCAGAGCCCCTGGGGACGCTACTGCCTCTGGGATGGCACCTGGGAGAGTCACCGTCTCTGGTAAGGCCCCAGAGGGCGTCCCTGGGGGGCTCCTGTGGGCACCACTACCCCCGGGAAGGTCCCAGGGGGCACCGTCGCCCCTGGGACGGAGCCTTGGGGCTCCACCGCCCCTGACAGGGAATGTGGTGGTATTACCACCTCTGACAGGAGCCCTGAGAGCGTCCCTCTTTCTGGGAGGGCCCCTGAGGTGCACCACCACCTCTGGCAATGCCCATGGTAGATCTCCAGTGGGCGCCACCGCCCCTGGGAGGGCTCCTGGAGGCGATACCGCCCCGGGTAGGGCCCTTAGGAGCACCGCTATTCCTGGGAGAGCTCCTGTGGGCACCACGACCCCTGGCAGGACCCCTGGGATGGTCCCAGTGCCACCGTCGCCCCTGGGAGGGACCATGGGGGCACCACCATCCATTGCAGGGTCCCTTAGGGTACCAACGCCCCTAGGGGCGTCACCGAACCTGGAAGGACCCCTGGGAGCACTAGCGTTTTTGGCAGGGCCCCTGGGAGGGCTCCAGGGAGTACCACCGCCTCTGAGAGGGCTCCTGCCGAAGTCACAGCCCCTAGAAGGGCTCCTGGGGGCACCACCGCCCCTAGCAGTGCTCCTACGGGCGCTGCTCTCCCTGGGAGGGCCGCTGAGAGCTTCACTGTCCCTGCAACGGCCCCTGGGGGCGTCAAAACCTGAGAGATATGACGTTAAATAGATACACCGTCCATCGCATTTCCAGTATCATCGTATCCTGAACAATGAAAAGGAGAATAAATATCCAACAGGAAAACATGAATTTGGGTGTTGTGCCGACTGATTGCTCTGTTCTCATATTGCCTTTAATTTGGTGGATTTACATTTTATTCCACCAATCAGAGTTAAGTAAGGAATTGCTGGACGTATGCAATATTGTCGACACCACGCTCAATCCCCTAGGGGGTGTGCTTTCCATGGGAGGCCCCCTGAGAACACCACCACACCTGGCAGGGCCCCTGGGCGGGCCCCAGTGGGCGCCGCCGTCCCTGGAAGGGCCCCTGGTTGTGCCACCACCTCTGGCAGGGCCCCTGGGCGGGCCCCAATGGGCGACGCCATCCCTGGAAGGGCCCTTGGTGGTGCCACCTCCCCTGGAAGGGCCCGTGGGGACGCCACCGCCTCTGGGAGGGCCCCTGTGGGAATTACCTTCCCAGGCAGGACCACCGAGGGTACCACTGTCCCTGGGAAGGCCCCTGTGGTCGCCGCTGTCCCCGCAAGAGCCGGTGTGGACACCAGAGCCCCTATCAGAGCCCCTGGGGACGCTACTGCCTCTGGGATGGTACCTGGAAGAGTCACCACCTCTGGCAGGGCCCCAGAGGGCGTCCCTGGGAGGGCTCCTGTGGGCACCACTACCCCTGGGAGGGTCCAATTGGGCGCAGTCGTCCCTGTGAAGGACCCTTGGGGCTCCATCGCCCCTGACAGGGAACCTGGTGGCATTACCACCTCTGACAGGAGCCCTGAGAGCGTCCCTGTTTCTGGGAGGGCCCCTGAGGGGCACCATCGCCTCGGGCAGTGCCCATGGTACATCTCCAGTGGGCGCCACCGCCCCTCGGAGGGCTCCTGGAGACGATACCGCCCCTGGCAGGGCCCTTAGGAGCACCGCTATTCCTGGGAGAGCTCCTGTGGGCACCACAACCTCTAGCAGGACCCCTGGAATGGTCCCAGGGTCACCGTCGCCCCTGGGAGAGACCATGGGGGCACTACCGTCCCTTGCAGGGTCCCTTGGGGTACCAACGTCTCTAGGGGCGTCACCGCACCTGGAAGGACCCCTGTTAGCACTACCGCCCCTCGCACAGCCCCTGGGAGGGCTACAGGGAGCACCACCTCCTCTGGGAGGGCTCCTGCAGACGTCACCGCACCTGGAAGGGCTCCTAGGGGCGCTGCTGTTTCTGGGAGGGCCGCTGAGAGCGCCACTGTCCCTGCAAGGGCACCTGGGGGCGCGACCGCCTGAGAGATATGACGTTAAATAGATACACCGTCCATCGCATTTCCAGTATCATCATATCCTGAACAATGAAAAGGAGAATAAATATCCAACAGGAAAACATGAATTTGGGTGTTGTGCCGACTGATTGCTCTGTTCTCATATTGCCTTTAATTTGGTGGATTTACATTTTATTCCACCAATCAGAGTTAAGTAAGGAATTCCTGGACGTATGCAATATTGTCGACACCACGCTCAAGCCCCTAGGGGTGTGCTTTCCATGGGAGGCCCCCTGAGAGCGCCACCACACATGGAAGGGCCCCTGGGCGGGCCCCAGTGGGCGCCGCCGTCACTGGAAGGGCCCCTGGTGGTGCCACCACCCCTGGCAGGGCCCCTGGGCGGGCTCCAATGGGCGCCGCCGTCCCTAGAAGGGCCCTTGGTGGTGCCACCGCCCCTGTAAGGGCCCCTGGGGACGCCACCGCCTCTGGGAGGGCCCCTGTGGGAATTACCTTCCCTGGCAGGACCCCCGAGGGTACCACTGTCCCTGGGAAGGCCCCTGTGGGCGCCGCTGTCCCCGCAAGAGCCGGTGTGGACACCAGAGCCCCTGTCAGAGCCCCTGGGGACGCTACTGCCTCTGGGATGGTACCTGGAAGAGTCACCGCCTCTGGCAGGGCCCCAGAGCGCGTCCCTGGGAAGGCTCCAGTGGGCACCACTACCCCTGGGAGGGTCCCACGGGACGCCGTCGCCCCTGGGAGGGCTCCTGTGGGCACCAATATCCCTGGGAGTGTCCAATTGGGCGCCGTCGTCCCTATGAAGGACCCTTGGGGTTCCATCGCCCCTGACAGGGCACCTGGAGGCATTACCACCTCTGACAGGAGCCCTGAGAGCGTCCCTGTTTCTGGGAGGGCCCCTGAGGGGCACCACCGCCTCGGGCAATGCCCATGGTACATCGCCAGTGGGCGCCACCGTCCCTAGGTGGACTCCTGGAGGCGATACCGCCCCTGGCAGGGCCCTTAGGAGCACCGCTATCCCTGGGAGAGCTCCTGTGGGCACCACGACCCCTAGAAGGACCCCTGGGATGGAACCAGGCCACCGTCGCCCCTGGGAGGGATCATGGGGGCTCCACCGTCCCTTGCAGGGTCCCTTAGGGTGCCAAGGCCTCTAGGAGCGTCACCGCACATTGGAAGATTCCCTGGGAGCACTATTGCCCCTGGCAGGGCCCCTGGGAGGGCTCCAGGGAGCACCACCGCTTCTGAGAGGGCTCCTGCAGATGTCACCGCCCCTGGAAGGGCTCCTGGGGTACCACCGGCCCTGGCAGGGCTCCTACGGGCGCTGTTGTCCTTGGGAGGGCCGCTGAGAGCGTCACTGTCCCTGCAACGGCCCCTGGGGGCGCCACCACCTGAGAGATATGACGTTAAATAGATGATGCACCGTCCATCGCATTTCCAGTATCATCATATCCTGAACAATGACAAGGAGAATAAATATCCAACAGGAATACATAAATTTGGGTGTTGTGCCGACTGATTGCTCTGTTCTCATATTGCCTATAATTTGGTGGATTTGCATTTTATTCCACCAATCAGAGTTAAGTAAGGAATTGCTGGACGTATGCAATATTGTTGACTCCACGCTCAAGCCCCTAGGGGTGTGCTTTCCATGGGAGGCCCCCTGAGAGCGCCACCACCCCTGGCAGGGCCCCTGGGCGGGCCCCAGTGGGCGCCGCCGTCCCTGGAAGGGCCCCTGGTGGTGCGACCGCCCCTGGAAGGGCTCCTGGGGACACCACCGCCTCTGGGAGGTCCCCTGTGGGAATCATCTGCCCTGGCAGGACCCCTGAGGGTACCACTGTCCCTGGGAAGGCACCTGTAGGCGCTGCTGTCCCCGCAAGAGCCTCCGGCGGCACCACCGCCCCTGTCAGAGCCCCTGGGGACGCTACTGTCTCTGGGATGGCACCTGGAAGAGACACCACGCTCAAGCCCCTGGGTGTGGGCTTTCCATGGGAGGCCCCCTGGGAGCGCCACCACCGCTGGCAGGACCCCTGGGCGGGCCCCAGTGGGCGCCGCCGCCCCTGGTGGTGGCACCGCCCCTGGAAGGGCCCCTAGGGACACCACCGCCTCTGGAAGGACCCATGGAGGTGCCATTGTCCGTGGGGGGACCCATGGGAGCGCTGCTGTCCCTGGAAGGGTCCCATGGGGCCTCTTGCCCCTAGGATGGCCTTTGGGGGCGCCACCGCTCCTGGCAGGGTCGCCCCCGTCACTAACAGGCCCCTGGGGGCGCCACGTTTTCTGGCAGGGCCCCAGAGGGCACCACTGTCCCTGCAAGGGCCCTTGGAGGGCAACACCGCCCCTGGCAGGGCCTCTGGGAGCGCCACCCTCTCTGGGAGGGCCCATGGAGGCGCTACCGCCCCTGGTAGGGCCCTAAGGGTGCCGCTGTCCCTGGGAGGGCTCCTGTGGGCACCACAACCCCTGGCAGGACCCCTGTTAGGGTTCCAGGGGCCGCTACATAATATTCGAATCCCACTGCTACCATCAATTCATACTGCCAGACCTGGGGTCACTAAGTCTAAAGGGATAACTTAACTCTATTCTTAATTTCTAAGGGTTGCTGCCACCAGACACCCCCCCCCCCCTCTCTGGGCAGTATGTAGCTCGTTAGGTAGCGGGCAGAGTGAACTAGGCATTGGCTAAGGTTTTTCATTGACCAGATCGTTAAGGGGAAGGAAGGGTGAAACCATAACAGCCGCTTGGGCGATCGGCCACGTCTGTTGCAAACTGTTAGCAAGTACTGAGCATGCACAGTAACAGAGCACTGGCTCCTAAATGTATTTGAACCTGCTCCAGTGCTTGTCAAGTCTGATTTTGAAACAGCTCACACTCGGTGCCGTCACAACACTTTCTGGCAGATTGTTCCAAAGTTCTCAACATCTCACTCCAGAAAAGTTACCCTCACAGTTTTCTGGCTTGTGGCTTCTTCAACCTTGAGCTGTGACCCCTTGTGGGGCGAGCGTCCGCCAGCTCCAGGTAAGGACATTCGACTGAGTAGTGCCCTTCGAGATGCTATTACACCTCAATTGGGTCTCCCCTTGCCCGTCTGTCGTATAAGCTAGGCAATTTCAGGCGCTCTAATATCTCGGGGAAGATGAGGTGCCGTAGTGCAGGCATCACTCTGGTGGCCCTCCTTTGGACATTTTCAATCAACTGACAGTCCCTAGCATATCTCGGGGACCAGACAGGGTGACAGTACTCCAGACGGGGGAGCACTTCACTCATATCCTCCCTCATCCCGTCGTTTCATCACGTAATATTCACACCTTGGCCTGGTTTTGTCGTGAACTAAGCAACAGCTAAATCTGAAGGACAACATTATATGGTGGTTGGTGCCAACTGGGGCTAGATGTTCCAGTTAAACCACCATACCACTTACATTATGTAATTCTAGGCAACTTTTCTTCTATAAACATCCGTCGGAACTTACTCCTTGTCGAAATATTGTTTTTTTTTTAAGTAATTATATTGGAAGGCAACCGAGTGCGACAGCTACCTCCTATCTCTGCCTCTGAAGACGAACACGATCATCAACTTCAGCCTGGGCCTTCATCGGAGTAAGCGGTAGACAGAACAATGGTTAATTCTTGATTAGGTTTGGTTAAGTTAGATTAGGTTAGGTTAGGTTAGGTTAGGTTAGGGGGGTCATAGCTCAGAAGCGAGTAATTTCCGACAGAAATGAATGTTAGAATCAAATGAATCACACCAAAAACCTCAGGAAAATTAAAATTTTAAGCTTCATAGGTGTTACTCAGGAAATTTACCAAAATTAAGTACAGTACACTAATTATAAAGTAAAATAAGTATTGCTGTATCTTACAACCATATTAATAAAGTAAAGAAGTCGTCCCATACAAAATTTCCATTTTCTGTTATTGCAACAGAGAAAATGGTCATAAATAAAGTATCATGAATGAGTTTAAATGTGTTACCGCTGCAGTCCCTGGGAGGGCCTCTGGGGGCACCACTGCCCCTGAGAGGGCCCCTGGGGGTGCTACCGCCTGAGAGATATGACGTTAAATAAATACACCGTCCATCGCATTTCCAGGTGATGAGGTTGTAGTGGAATTCTCCCCTACAAATGCTGTTTGTCGCTGCCAAGCAGACCCCACCAATTCCCCAGTGTATGCCTCGTGGTCTAGGTCAACCAGCGCCGCCATACATCACGGAGCGGGGGTCAACTGCTAAGCCACGCCTACCCCCGCTATTTAAGACCTGACCTCGTGGTGATCTCTCTCTTTCTACCTACACCAACCAGCCAGCAACACCTCCTCCTCCGCCGCTGCCTGGCGGCCTTCCCTCGCTCCTCCGCCTGCCTGGCGGTCCTCTCTCCCGCCGGCGAGCATGGCGACCCACAAGCTGTCCTTCTCTGAGTGTCCTCACCAACCAGCTCTCTCTACATCACACTTGTAACCATGCTGCCTTCCCAGCACCAAGCTGCATTGTACATCCAATACAACATGTATATAGAGAGCACATTGTGAGTTTCCTTTCTCCAACCCATCCTGAGTGTGAACCAAACAACATCAATACCCCACAAGGTTCTTTTATTATTACCCGACTCACATAATAAGCTTCTCATGTCTTGGTGTGGACCATATAAGCTTGTTGAGTGTAGGAATCGTGACCTACTTAATTGATACAAATGGACATTCCAAGCTGTATCATGCTAATCTCCTGAAAAGATACCATCGTAAGGCACTGGGAGCTCATATACAATTGTTGGACAAGTTTCCGCTGTTGATAATTCTGGTAGTCCTTTAGTGACTGTTCAAGTATGTGCTCTTAACGAATGTTCAGAGTTTGAGGAAGACTCTAGTACCTTAACCATAAACCCGGACGGGAAAGATTCCACTGCAACTACTTTGGAGACCGACATCCTGAATATTTCACCTGGTGTATCCCCCGAGCAGAGAAATGGTATTGTAAGTCTGGCAAGTCATTTTAGTCAAGTATTCTTGGACACACCAGGTTGTACTTCTACCATTCAGTATGATATCACTTTCCACAACAGTGGCTTAAGCCATAGGTCTTCCCTATTAACATTCACTTAGTCCCACTTTGAGGAGGAAGTTGAGAAGTTACTTGACCAGTGTACCAATAGACCATCTAAATCTTCCCATTGTTCTTCTGTTGTAATGTTTGGTAAACCTGATGGTAACTATCATACGGCGATAGACTATAGTATGCTCAACACCGACTGAATTTCATGCAAAACCTATGAGTACTGTATATGGATTTATACAAGTTGAATGGTTCAACATTTTTCAGAATTGGGCCTTACTAAAGCTTATTACCAAGTCCCACTAAGTGAGAAAGCCAAGGCACTTACTGCTTTTCCCACCCACAAGGGATTAATGGAGTTTTGTCAACTCCCATTTGGATTAGTTACTGCTTGTGCTCCTTACATCAGACTTAAGAGGATTGTATTGGCAGGACTTAATTATGTTTCTTTTTATTTTGAGTAAGTGTTTATATATTCACACACTTGGGAGGAACATTAAGAGCCCTTACTTCTGTTCTGGAGCGTCTACACGGATCATGGATTAACTGTCAGATAAACCAAGTGTAAGTTTGGTTTCAGTTATATTTAGTATTTGGGCTATGTTTTTTATGGCAAGTCATTTAAGCCTCTAGACAAAAAAATTCAAGCCATTTTAGAGGTCCCACTTCCTACCTGCAAGAAAACTCTTAGATCTTTCCTCAGCATGACAATTTTATAGGAATTTCATACCTCTGGCATCTTCTCTTACTGGTCCCTTGTCTGATTTATTGCATAAAGATGTGCAGGAACCCTTGATTTGGAGCAAAGAACTACAAGAGACGTTTGATCAACTTAAATTAGTTACAAAATTGATAAAAGACGAAGTAAGGTTGTGCCACCGATTCACAGAGTCGTGGTAACTGGGTGCCAGTCCCCCCTGTATCACCAAGTGTTGAGAGTAGTAATAATTACTGTACACGAGCAATCTTGGTGCGGGTGTTTGAGAAGTGCTAGTTTAAGTAGTAATGTAATTGAACTGTGGACGACCAATCTTTGTAGTGTGTCACTGTCACAGAATGGCCCTGTCGACGTGAATACTTGTTTGGCCAATGTGGAAGTAAGGCCAAATGGTCTTTGGAGTTTGTATCAGTGTTAAAGTAAATTGGACCAAGTCTTGAGTGAGCCCCAAGGAGTGGTTCATGTGTGTGTGTTCTGTTAGTGTCATGTATTCAACTTCATTTTAAATCAACCTTCTTTATTGTATGTTGGGGTATCATTATCCTGCAGTATCACCTTTGTTCTTCCACACGTGAAATACAAATGAAACCATGTGCCCCAGACCTCACCATGCTATCACCTGTGTAAGAGGATAAAGATTATCTGTATAAGAAGTAAAATAACTAAGAAAAGAATAAAAAGGAATTAAGTAATTAAGAAAATAAAAGTAAACAAAAAATAATAATTCCCCGCCTGTACACTCACAAACATTTATTTGCGATAACCAGGGTATTCCTGTACATGTTCCAGAAAGTGGAACAGCTGGTCATAGTTTTATATATTGCCATTATTGTTAAGATCTCTAAAGTTTCTGTACCTCTGTTTAACATGTTTCCCTTTAGATGACTACAGTACAAGTATATCACTGAACAAAAGTTATAATTATCAGTACTGTATATTCAGCTCAAAAGAAATACTTTCCACGTGTAAATTACAAACTATGTGAAACAGCCCCATATACCTGACAGATACAACATACTAAGTCTTCAGAACACCAGGAGGCAGTGTGGACAACCTCAACTGTAAAATCTGGTATATGCTTACAGCTGGGTGACTTGGGGTGTCTTGATCATGAACCAGCAACCATTAGGACAAGTGGCGAGTGCTGTGTCCATCGTTTGATCACCACACCCCTATATACTTTACATTAAATTAATTCATATAAATTTCCCTCAAAAAAATGTAGAGGTCATTTAAAACAAAATCTATATGAAAACTTTTACTAAATGCACACAGTCAGTGCATTTCTGGAATGATCACACATACACTTCACAAAAACTGTCTCCCTTATCAAAAGTGGATTGAGGACAAAAGAATTAAAGAAACACAATCCTGACTTTGTGCCCAAGTTTGAACTTCATAAACACTATATCTGCTAACAAAAGCCTGTACAGTTGTGGATAATATTCTCTCTACATTTGGCAACATTTGGTATATACTTATGGATCAAACATGTGACAGCTGCTCTTCATTATAAATTGTCATAAAATCAACAAAGTCCAATCTTTAATACAAAAATAAATCTGAGTAAACAGACAAAATTCTAATCACCACTAAAGTACTGTACCCACAAGATCCTCAGGTAGATCCCAGACATCACCAAAGGTGTCGAGGAAATTTTCTCCACGAATGTATATATGACGATGTTTGACAGCATGAATAGTGATACATAACATTCTGAGATGATACAAATAATCATGAGAAGAAGAATAAGATCAGCATTACAGAGAATGAACCCCCATTCTAACACAAGCAAAATGACTCGACCGCCAAATCTATGACTAACAATCATATAAACAACAAAAGGAGCATTATAAACCCATTTAACAATTTCTGTTAAAACAAAGTCAAGAAGAGTTACCTTATTTTACTGCAGCCAGTCCAAAGTACTGTAGGTCTGCTAGAGCATTTCATGACCTATATACAAAAATACAGCTTGGAGTGAAATATAGCTCATATATACAAGACCATTGTGGCATAGCAAAGGCATCATAAGTAACAATCTTGAACAGAGAGCAAAGACGATGTATACCATTAAGAAACATGTTCAATATAATTACTTTGTACACTCGCTCCAAGAAGTACTGTGCCTGTACTGTATATTTACGGAGGGGTCCTATGAATTTCAAAATGAACACTATGACACCTGTTGTCTCAGTAGGGTTTTCAAAATCCTTAGTCCATTGTGCCAGTCTCACAAAATCAACAAAATACTTTTTGTAGCGAGTGTGTACACAAGTATGTAACTAAGTTTAACATTGGCTTCCTGTTCACTTCCTTCAAGTAGGTAAAATATAAATTTAAGAAGAATTACAATCAATTAACTTGTACAGTATGTACTGAACTTACACAACCATTTCTATGTAATATTTCAAAATTAAGCACCATTAACAAAGAAAGAATCTGAAAACAAGTTTTCAACGGGAAAAAATTCAGTTCAAATACTGCACTGGGAATTGTATAAAAACTGGTCTAAATTTTTTCCTACTTCCTAATTAAGTTGAAAATATAACTTAAGCTCCTCTATTGGGCAAATCTTTAACCTTGTAGATACGAACAATCCAGTGTTCTGTTGTGTAAGCTTCTTCAAGAACATCAAGCTCAAAATCTTTGTTACCAATTTCAACATTACGAACTCTATCATAGCCCGGAGGTTTTCCTGAAATGAAGAAAATTTTCATGTTAACATTTCCTTCACTAAAATTAATACTGTACTATACAGTACAAAATTTTTAACATGGCAACTGCAAGGATGCACTTTATACATTGTAAAAGGCACAAGTATGGGGTGAGTGAAAGAGAAAGGAGTGCTGTTAAGTTGGTGCAAATACATTCAAATTATCACTTTGAGTAACATATATGAGTCGGTAATCAACATTGTCTTGCTTGTCTTCACAGTTCTTCATAAATACAGCCGTGCATAAATATCTAAAACATTACCCCCAGGGAGAAAACTACTCACCTCCTTCTGTGTAGACTTGCCCAAACCTGTAGTAACACATTTTGTACATGAGGCAGTTTAGCAGCGTGGGAGATCCCTCTTTATCCACTCGGAATTCCCCGGCAGGGGTGTAATAGTCGTGTTCCTTGATGTGTCCGCCCTTCTCCGTGCTCCCTCCAATACGCACCATCCACAGGAATTTATTGATATCTGGTAATTAGAAAATAATAAATAAAATAACATAAAAACTTGTCATCTATTCAGCAAGTTCACTTAAGACAGAAACACATGATAAAACAGCAGAGATACCTGTGGTAACTTTCATATCAGTACTGTACATTAGCCATTAGATGTCATTCACCATAAAAGACAATTACACACCCTATATAATTGCTCTACAGTGAGTTCTGCTATAACGAGTGTTTTGATAAAACGAATTTGCTCTAACGCGATTTATGAATTAGGAACGATATTTGTATAACGCGAACGCTTGTTTGCTATAACGCGATTTTTGCTTACTATTTCTCCAATTTTGTGGTACAGTGGGGTATGGTATAACGAATCTAATTGGTTCTAGAACCTTGTTCCTTATAGCATTCGTTCGTTATAGGATTAATCCATTCCAGGACCCCAAATACAACCACTTAACACTGAAAAATATAATATAAAATTGTAAAAATTTTAAAAAAGTGCATAAATATGCATCTAAACCCCTGAAATAAAGAATATCATTAATATTTGTAATAAAAAAACAATAAATTAGAAAAAAAATAAAAATTAAATAATGTTCGTTGTAGGAGTTTCGTTCGTTATAGCATTCTCAATTTTATAGGTAAAACCGTTCGTTATAGGAATAATCGTAGTAGGATCCGTTCGTTATAGCATACCCCACTATTAACTGTGAATATAGTAAAGAAGAATATCAACAAGAAGCGTTCTGGTGATAGAATTCCCGGTGATGATCGTAAAAGAAAGGATATAACACTTGAAGAGAAGCTCGATTTTATCAACCTCAAAATCACCCTTCTCCCCCATCAAGTAAAGTGTTACATTTACTGTATGATTTCATTATTAGATATGAATGAAACATTTATTTAGACTGTGCTATCCTTTGTGTTAGGCTAACTACTAAATTTTTTCGATTTCGAGTAATCTGCACCTAGCCCTATTTTCTCCATAAGCCCTGTTATTTCTATTACGCGATTTTCTATAACACGATATTTTACAAGAACACAATTATCGCGTTATAGCAGAACTACCTGTATTTTATATTCTCAGCCAAAAGTATTTTAAAAGTACATCTTCCTAATATAAAAAAACAACCTTCATATACCAACACTCCCCGGTTTACAGAAAGGTTCCGTTCCTGAACCCTATTCATAAGCCAATTTTTTGGTAAATCTAAAATGACCCTTCCATAAGGTAAATATGTAATGTATTCTGTACTGAATCACAGATGGCGTCTCACAAGGGGATGTCTGTATATCTATAAGAACTATATTATAACTAAAGCGAGGTGATCTACACACATGCCAGAAGTACAAGTGTTAATACTGAGTACAACACATGAACTCACCATCAGAAGAATAGCCAGTGAGTCCTCCAAAGATGACCAACACATAGTCTACATCAAGCTCTCTCATGATCTCATAGGCTTTGTCCTCGGTGCTGGCCATGGCTTGACCCACACGGGATATGTGAGTGTTATTCCATGTGTTGTTGTCCACTAATATAGTTCTGTTGGCCATGGCTGTTATCTGATATCCATAATCCCACCATGACATTACCTTTGCATCCTGTGAGTCAAAGAAGAAGAATTTGTGATTGAAGAATATAAAAATTTTAAGCATAAAGGAAAATAACACGTGAAAATTGAGTAATGATGCAAACAAAATGTACTGTACTGGACTTGTGGTAACATGAGTTATACAGACCTCAGGAGTGTTGTGACGCAGCCAGTAGTAAGCTTCCCTGAAATCATCAAATATGATCCTGGATCCATCATGGCCACGAGCAGAGAGAACAATTGACGGGGAGCTGTAAGCTTCAGATGTTACCCAGGTGCAGTGGAGTGTGTACATTACCAAGAATACAGACATCACACACACAAAGAATGTGGCAATCTGTTGAGAAAATCGTTAACAGCTTTTGAAAAAAAAAGAGTACCACAAAACCAAGCAATTATTATAAGTAAATTCATTCTCACATACCCCAAAATTCATTAAAAAATCCCAAGAACTCCTCTTTCACAGGTAAAACTCACTTCACTCCTCATAAAGTAGTTGCCCTCAAACTTGGCCTTCTTCTTCTCCGTTTTAACTTCATCAATTTGCTTCATGTAGGTGGAGAGCATGGAAGACACTGCTATACCAGAGAGAATACACATCACAGGGGCCAACACCAGCATCAAGCGCACCATCACACCCTGACACAGAGATTATCATCAATCAGACACAGAGCTGCAGATGTTGCCTTAAAACACATAACTAGGCCTTTGTTTTGTGTGTACTTCATTGAATATGAAAAAATAGTGAGCAGGAATTCTCAAATGTTGAATGCCGCTTGAGCAGTTTCTATCATTATGAAGAGCCACCACAATCAACGTACACTGCCATAAATAGGTACAAGAATATAAGCACTTTCTATACTGTACTCACTGCAAAGTAGATGCTGAGGACACCATAGAGAATGATGAAGATATTCTCATCTGTAAGTTTGGAGAAGCAGAAGTAAAGACCAACAGGAAACATGAATGTCAACATCTGCAAGTCAAAGTAGAAGGAAGACCATGCTGTGGGCTGGTGCTCAGAGACAGAGGCAATGATGGGAATGTTGTTCTTGGCGTATGATGGATCCAACAGCGAGTAGAACCTTCCTGTCCACGGTGCAATCTTGCCCAAGGCTGTGAGCACTACTAGCACCAACACCCCCACCACGGCCACAGTGGAGATCACTGCACGGAACAGTACCTCAAACTGGGTTTTATTTAGGCGGGAACGCACGTAGTCAACAAAAGAATGTATCTGGCACAGCCCAAACACACCAAATGCCTGTAGATCAATACCAAACAATTAACCATTAAATTATTTCTCAAAATAGAAAAATTATTTACATAAAGGCCAATTGATGCAGTGACTAAAATACTGTAGCTATATAATGTCTTGTGTAACTTAATAAATGTGCACCAAGTACAGTACTACACCCACTTGTATATTTGAATTTTTCTCATTACAGGCTGTGTGAGGCACCAAAGGAAATGTAAATACAGACTTCCTACCCCCATGTGTTCAGATGTGGAGACAGGCTGGAACCCGACAAATGATATTTGCATGGAGAGGATGGTGCCGATGACGTAGAGGGTGGAGTATGCCACATACACCCTGTGAGAGAACCGGCCAGTGATCATCAGGGTGAGGACATGCAGAGGAATAATGTTGATCAAGAACACATATCCACCCCAGGATGACACCTGTAAAGAAGAAGGGATAAAATTACCAAGAGTAATTATGCAATAATTCAAAAATTTTCAATGTCCTTGTAATTCAAATACTGTACATTGTTTATAGTTACTGTACTGTACTATGTACAGTACAGGTACCTACATATTTCACAGCTGAGCCCCAAGAAATGAGCTCTAGTCCCTATATGGATGATGGGGGTGAATCCAGTCAAAAATCTGGAAATAAGGAGTAGGATAATGATGTATACACCACTAAAATGTTCCAGTCAAACAGAATCCATAACTGGAACTGTTTATTACCAAACTGTCTTGATAACAATGATAAAAAGTTTCAGTTTGATAATTTCATTCTAATCTATTGTTCCATTCTCTACAGATCAAGAATCACCTGTGCAGTGTACAAACAGATGGACATGGGTAACACTACAGTATATGTTCCCTCTATACTGTGTCTACATTTGTGACAAAGGGCAGCCAGCATAAATAGAACCCACTACACAGACAGCCAAAGCAGAGGATCAAAATTGGCATGACACTTTTGGGACCTGTATGTATGTGTCAATGGCCCTAAAAAGTTATATAACTGCTACGACAACCTTGTGTACTGGTGAGCTGTGTCGACCAATATCAGAATTTTCATACATGTTGAAAGTTCAGGGTTTCAATGTTGGCAGGACACATGGAGGTTCCTAAGACGGAACTGCGTTAAATTTGAACCCCTGATAAATGACTACTTGATCAAGAAGTTAGAGGAAAGGGTGAATAGGTATATTGATACAGACGGAGAGGTAAAAGTCCAGGAAAACTTGTCAACTGTAATCAATAAAAAATAACGCAGTACAGTACAATACAGTACAGTACTACAGTATCTGTGAAGCTATGCCTGGAGGACAGCCATCCCTACTCACCCTCACAAGCAAAAGATACAACATTAATTACCATACACATTAACTCCAAAGATGAACAAAACAAAAAAGATTCCCACATTAACTTACCATGTAAAAGTAAGCGAGTGAAGCCATAGTTGACCAAAAGAGTGTGCCAGTCTTCACAGCTTTGATCCACATGTAGTAAGTCAACAGCATACAGAAGATGGCAATACCTGGAAGAATTGGGAGGTTTAGTCATCACACACCACCTCAACTATTACCGTATACACCACAAGGTGCTAAAAATAATGTGAAAGTTGGAGTATGTACCGGTAGTCAAGTACATGCCTGTATAATGTTAACTTGGTAATACAGTGTTGTCAAGGGTGGAGTACCTTTACAGTATTATGGATCTGGGATAAAAAATTTAGTGTAAAACAATCACCTTCAAATAATTACAACCAACTTAGAATACTTTAAATGACAATTATACTACACCTGTACATTTTAAATAATTTTTATACGTCTTACCAAAAATATAGACCGGCTTATGAGTTCAAGTTAAAACTTTTCAAATAAAAAGCATTTTTGGTCAAAGGTACTCACAGACATGCTGGTTAACCCTTCCTTCACTGTGCAAAGCGACTGTAGTCTATTTTAAAATTATTGTGCTACACCGCCAAAATCGACTGCAGTCCATGACAACAAAAATGTTTAATCCCTGCTTAAATCAACTACGTTCCAAGAGTCTGAATGCACCACCAGCCCTGGGTTGTGCTGTCATCTTTCAGTAAAATGCTAAACCTTAACCTCAAATATACAGAGTCGCAGATGATGTCTGACGCCCGAGCCCCGGCTATTGTTGACCGTCATAGACTTTTTATAGCCTATCATCCGAATAAATAATATAAGATTTTATTCTGTTATACGGGGATAGGCAGTTTAAGTGTGATGAGTATGAAAATATATATAAAAGAAGGATATAGATTGCAAAAAGTGATGAATATGCATCAATATATGCTATTTTACAGGGGCTGAGGAATACTGATGAACCACCAGTGTTTTTGGCTTCCCATTTTCTATGGTGGTATGAATGTGGAAGAACAAATATTTTGTAATAACCAAGGCACATTTTTACGGGTATTTGCTACTGTTATGTGTTTGTACTGAGTTTAGCTCCCTTTACAGAGCCATGAGTGTAAGATGCAAGATGATTGTTGGGAAGAGTTGTGCCACTTCCTTGTAAGGAAGTTTATAAAATGTTTGTTTTTGTTCAATCCAGAATGTGACGTCTAGCTTTATACCGAGGTATGTACAGTAGATGCCTAGCATTAACTCGCCAGGCCAAATACAGGCAATTAAAACATTTATGTTTATTGAAATAAATGTGTTTGTATAGTCTGTTTTGTTTGGTTTCACCCAAAATGATTCCAGGTGAGGTACAGGGGGCCATCCAAATTTGCAGAATTTTATTTTGCAAATGAGACACTGGATGTTCCCAAGAATGTCTGTGGGTAGTTTTAAAGTTGCCGGCATTTTCGCGGCTGGGACAAGGAACCAATCATTCTAGAGACAGTAATTTCCTTTACCTGTTACCTGTATTGTAAATATGTGTGTGTGTGTCTATACACACACACACACACACATATATACAATACAGGTAGAAGAAATAATTGTCCTAAGGGCAAACACAAGGGGAAAATACATATCTTTGTACACAAGTAAAAGTGTACCCCCCTCCCCTTGGTCAGCAAATGTGATTCGCGGATTGGTGATTCGCGGCCATTTTGAGAACCTAATCCCCGTGAATTTGGGGGGCTTTTATACCAATATTGGATCTCAAAACCTGGCTATAATTTCCATTTAAAATTAATTTACAGTAATGAATAACTTGGTTGTAAGGCATGATCCATGCTTCTGGAGGCAAATTTTGATAACATCTGATTTTTCAGACAACTTTATCTGCAGAATACCTGTTACAATTTGTTTTTCTCAATGTTTTTCATAAAAAAACATGAATTTCCATTAGTTACCCACATTTTAAAGGAATTTTTGTGCCAAACATGTAAACTTCATATAATTCTCATAATATAAATGTAATAAAAAAACTAAAATTAGCACTTTCATATTTTTGGTGACAATGACACTTGTTGGGAATAATTGAGAGATCAGACAATGCAGTGAAACACCGACTATGCGACGACCAAGCCTTAAGAATGTTGGAGAAAACAAGTCTGACTGATAAGGGTATGGAGTGTAAATGAGTGGCGAGACAGCTCTTTTTCACAGATAACACGACTGGTGGAGGACAGGAAAAGTTGCATATGACAAAGGTACACATATAAGAATAAATTCAAACACTTATAACCTACTTCTGGCAAAAAGATCAATAAAATAGAACTGTATTAACACGAAGAATTAAGTCCATTACAGGGAAATACTGTATACAGGACATCCTCACACAACCTGCATATAAATGAAAGCACCAGAGTACAATAACATTATACTTTCCTCAATGTTCAAGGTGATAGGAGGTTGCAAACCCCATCAATTACAACCCAAGAATTTTAGCATTTTCTCAAAGGTGCATGATGCTTCCTAAGTGATGTCCCACCCACCCACACCATTTTTTTTAATCTACTGTACTTATACCACCTCAAACACAGTATTCTGTCTAGTTATATTTCATCACTCCATCAAATTCATTGCTATCTATAATTCATAATGTATTAAATTACCTTTGACAAGCCACGAATATCCCCGAGAGGTTAACTCTTTCACTATGAGGATGCCACTTTTAATATCTTATTTGGCAAGTGCTTGACGATTTTATTCAGCTAAGAGGGGGGACCCATACAAAAGGAGTTAAGATTTACAAAGATTATCAACACCAGAAGGAAGTACCATGACATTCATTACCTTCATTATCATAAGAGCCAGCGACAGAACGTGATATGTATCCTGGCACAATGGCAATCATCACAGCAGCGACCAATCCTGCACCTGGACCCTGTGAAGAAATATGTGTATGTCATAAAAGAAAAATGAAATTGTAGAAACAGAACAGGAACTGAATGCCATCTTAATTATAGTACTTAGTTCAAGAATGTTACAAATGATAAGATATTTTAACCATTTCCAATTCAAAATCTGAATATGTCACAGTCAATGTGCCAAATCAGACAAGTCTGTAAAATACCTGTGAAATTTTTCTGTTTCATGTTGTGTATAAGTTATGTTAGAACAGAGGTTCGGTTCAGTGTAAAAGTAATTAAATTTTTGCAGTTCGCAGGTGAATAACCTAACCTGGCCTACCCTAACGTATGCACAACAGGAAATGAAGGAATTATACAGGTATTTTACATATCACCTGACTTGACACATTATCCATAAATCCAAGAGTGACAAAAACTCAGGAAGATCAGGCACTACTTAAACATTACCTTCAGCTCCTTGGCCAGATGGTAGGTAACGAGAGTGGTGAGCGAGGAGAAGAATGGCGCCAAGAACACACAGACATTACGCACATCTATCGTTATGTGAAGCCAATTCAAGATGTGGTATATGGTCGCTGAGGTCACCATCAACCCTGGATAGATGGTACCTGCAATGACACACACACACACTGTAATACACTATCAAGTTACAGAAAATTATTTATGATTACAAGAGCTTATAAAAGTACTGAAATACATTACCTACAGTATTAAGTTCCAAAAAATGATAAATTAATACAAAATGAACACATGAATTCTTATCTCATCAAGATTAGGAACCCCAGCTTATTTTTATTACGATTCAACACCCTAATGCGAATCTGTTCTGATCCCCCCGAAGGTTAAATACACAAGGGTTCCTAAACATCATATGAGCCACATCTTCTATCAGTGTTGCACGAGTTCAAAACTGCTGTATAGAGTGACGACCCTTTCACTACGGGGGACACCACTTTTAAGATTTTATTCAGCTCGGAGAGGAAGCCATACACAATGGGTTAGTAGACTATCTCAACTAAAACCTTCACAATAGGAATGGCACTTTAAACATTTTATTTAGCTAATGCCAGATAATTTTATTCAGCTCAAAGGCAACCCCGTAAACAAGGGGTTAACAGTATAGCAATATCACTTGCACTTGGCCCGACAGTTGCCATACTCACCTCCAATGATCCTGCCAAGTGGGTACCACGCTCGATCGTCAAACCAGTTATGGAAATTATAGAAGCCTTCCTCAGCCAAAAACTTGGTGGTGCGGTAATTGAAGTAAGGATCAAACTCGTGGATGACGGACTCAAAGCGAAGGACTGAGAAAAGTCTGCAGGAGAAAGCTGTGAAGAAAATAAGATTACTGTATATTGTAAGGGTAAAATTGTATTATACAACCAATACAGTATAGGAAACACCAATTTATGAATCTTATGCAAAATAAATTAGCGACCGTATATTCACTACAATACTTTATAAAAAAAAAATTTATCAAATTTGCTACTGACTGTCCATCTAAATATAAAAATATCACCAACATTTAATGGGGATTCCACTTTAAATTGTCATATGTTTTTAGTCTATACATTATGAAGCCAAACTTCCAAAGGTTTTTATCAATACAAAGGACACAAACAGGAACATAACTTTCAGTACCACTAAGAGCAACAACAAACGTACAGAGAATTGCCGCAAGAGAGAGAACAGCCATTTTCAGTAGTGTGTCCTGCTTCTCCACTGACATGCGGAGCCATCCTCGCGTCCGGTAGTTTAGCACCGGGCCCGACATGTTGAACTGGAAACTAGAGAAAATCTATTTGATGGTACTTTCCACCCAAAACATTCATTCATATAATCAAATACAGTATCCATACCCAGTATAGTTTTCAAGGTAACCTAAGCATTAGACATCCCAGCCCATTTGACCTTACCCTTACAATTCTACTTGGTAACAGTTAATGACAGAGGTCCAGGTTAACCAGCTACCTAAAAAAAAAAAAAATCCTATCAAAGAAGACATTTCTTACCTCAGGAATAAACCATAATTATTGAGGAGGAGGAATTGCATTTTACCCGTCAATAAAGATTCTTCACCTCACCCAATAATAACACCTATGTGCTTCAACTGTTCATGTGAGCAAAAACATTTCATAGACATTAACATTTCTAATGCATACTCACCAAGATGCGGCAACTTCAGAAATTTCGTGATTTCTTTCTTACGTTACGAATATCCCAAAACAGACAAGGAAATTGTAATTTTTGAACGTAATATTAATTTGGTAATAAACACGAACGTTTTCTTGTCTTGTCCTTTGCAGGCACTCCCAATTAATGTACTGTATTGTACATTACATTTGTCATACCTGTATTGTGCTAAAACAACTTATCTCTCTTAGGATGGATGTAAACTGATTTAGGTTACTTTAGGTTTGGTTAGGTACAACAGATAGGTTCATATGGAAAGGTTGCTAGAAAGTAAACCATCACTGGAAAGCCTTTGTCAACAGTTGAAGCATTAATATGGCATCATTGGGCGGGAGGGCACGAAGGGTCTCTATTTTGGGGAAAACTACGGAAAAAATACCTTCCTCCAATGATTTATTCTTTAGAACAGAAGTAAGTTTTCTTCTATAAAGATTTTTCATAAGGTAGCAAGTTAACCTGGACTTCTGTCATTAATTGGTACTAACTAAATATTAAGGTACTGTAGGTCAAGTAAAAACTTAACATTTACCAACAGATGAAACACACCAACCAAATCTAACCTAATAAGCAATTAAATCTTTGGTTATATAATACATTTATATTAGGGTCACCACCTTAACCCTCCCGCACATCATGATTTGAATCGCATCAATCATTGGGTTGCACTGTTAGCATAGGTGACAAGAATTGCACCATAACTTAAAAAATTTGCCAACAAAGAAGTTCTCAAGATAATTGCGTACAATTTCCATGCGTCATAGATGAATGCATGATCTTACAAGTGATGTTTCCAGAAAGTACCAAAATGCTAGTGGAGTTCTGCTGATAAGTCACATCTAATTAGTTGTATCAAAATTCCAAAGCCACCGTTGGAAAGTTCACAAAATTCCTCTTCTGTAAGTGTATAGAGGTTTGTGAGAAAATATCCGAGAAATAGTGTAAGGAACATTTTTTTTTCTGTATTCGGAGTGAAAAACTAGTCTTACTCTCGTCGTTTATTCATTTTTTCTTCAAATATAAAAGCCAAAACATTAATGAAACCAATGATGTATAAACTCAAGCAAACAACTATTGTATTTCTTCTGGGAAAAATTAGCCGGAGAACTTAAATGTCCAGACCTCATGAGTGGTCCCATATTACTTTTGTTGTTGTCATGGAAACTTAAAATCTTATCGAGGACATGAGAGGTTTAATTGTTTGGTTTGAGATTTTTACCAAAACATTATCTTCATGCGACAAAATACAAATTCAATGCTGGAATATAACAAATAAGCAATGCACCTCCAAGAAAATTAAATTACATCTTGACTTCAGCAGGAACAGACCACTGAACAATTGCTGTGGTTCACTCCAGCTAAAATTAAACATACAGTAATTCAGCTGTGCTTTTCATTCACAAAAGCACAGGTGTGGATGCCAACAATTAACTACCTTTAGTATTTGCATAAATTCAAAGTAGTTTTTACACTACAGTATTAGTTTCATGGAGACCTCCTGAAATATGATGTGGCTATCATAACTTTCACTGTTAAGTTAGGTTGGTATGCTTTCTCTGCTGTCATTAATGTGTTTAGCCACAATCACCTGCCGGAAGAAGCATTTACACGATGGTGTTGTCATGCACACTTTACAAATAACTCTCGTATCTTTGTGCTGGTTTTATATTTCTTACTTCCCTCTCCCACCAGTGTTTCACAGGGCAATACTAGACAACTGTGGTGTGCTCTATGCTCCACCTTCAAGAAATTTCTCAGCAGAACAATAAAGCTTTCTTACCTCGAGAAACTGTCAAAAAGTGCAAGAGTAATATGTTTTGTGTAATATTACCTACGTCTGAAATCAGCGGAGGAAGACGCTTGACGCAACCTGCCGTGTTCACCTTGTTTAGACTGTCAAGGAATTTCATTTTATTTTAGAGGATTTAAATATAAGATAATGCCAATATTTCAGGTTAGGTGAGATTAGGTAGATCAGTTTGGTTCATTTCCTGATCGATAAACTTAAATACAATAGTAGTATATGGTACTTCAAGAATGTTAGCAGCAGTCACATGTTTTCAAGACAGATCGTTGGTTTGCTTCATAGAATTCGTTTTATAGATGAAAATGAACCAAATTGACCAAACCTAACTTAACAGCTATCATATATTCTAATTCACTAAAATTAAAAGTTCCTTGAAATCAACCACCGACTGTCTAGTTAACAGCAGTTACTCACAAGCTAAACACAGCAGGCAGAGGCAACTACTCCACAGATGAAAAACACTGAAATTTGGGTAAATTTACAGTTTCAGCCACAACTATTGTTCGACCACAAATTTTTGTTTTACCTTCATTTCTGATGGAAATGAGTCATTTTGGATTTATCACCCCCCTTAAACAACCTGACCTAACCAACCAAAGAAACCTACCTAACCTTACCTAACTTCCTAGCTGACCCTGCTATATTAAACAGAAAGTACTTACCGGAGGGAGGAGGGGGTAATTTGATATCTGGTACCAATTAGTGCAAATTTGTTGAAGCATCATGGTGTAATTTTACTTTTTTTGTGGACGTGAGAGTAAGCTTGGACTGAATGGGTCGGCTGTAAACAAACACACGACAAGCGGTGACAGCAGATTTACCTTAATTTCTTACGTGAACTTACTTTCTCAGTTAATATCCATTTGCGACGAAGTGGTTAAAAAAAAACCTACTGACAACACAAATAATGGCAAACAAAAAATTGCTCTAACCGAGTTGTGGCTGAAACTGTAATAACACAGGAAATTTCTATGTGATAAAATGCCAAAAATATACATCATGCTCATTCAGTTTCATGAGATAAGAAAACTTTGTTATTCTATGGCAAAATGTCCTAAATTGAAAGGTAAGGCTGCACCACTACCATCAAGTATCACCAGTCATTCTATAAATTAAAAATACCCTAAGTTCCATCACAAGTTAGCAACACTAAAGAAATCTGTTGATGAGCAAACCTTATCACTAGTATTCTCATCTCATGACTGACCATCCTACGCCATACTTCCAATTTATAATCAAACTACAAGATATTAACAACACCATCATAATATAACAAATTAAACACACAGCATCCATTAGCATATTACACTGGTTCATGACAGGCCACCACACCCCCTTCACCCCTCCCCTGGCAGTCAGTCCTCTCCACAGACACACATATATAAAGTATAAGACCTATACGAGACTAATAATAATTATATGATGATTCTCTAACCTCATCTACCGGGTCAAGAAATGAGTGTAATGATAACTTGTGGCCATCAGCTGGTATAGGGCCACTAGCCTACACCTCTCGCACCAATTGACAGGGCAAAACAACCTTATAGGTAAGTAATTCATTTATATTTCTACTTACATATCTTAATATGATGTAGTGAGCCTCTGTGTGGTGTGTGCGAGGGTGAATTATATGAGAATGGGCGAGTGAAGGAAGGTGTCGGCCTCTCATTGGTCGGTGGCCGGCGTCCTCCTCAACAACCCTCCAACACCTTCATATCCCTCATAACACTCAATTATAACACGATATTGCGACTCCAAATAATAACAATGATTGGTGGGGTATGTGTGAAGGTTGGTAACGTGTGATGGTAACTCACTGTATCAGCTGAGTGTTGACAGCTGAGGTACAACACGGCAGGCGAGGGTGAGCGTGGCCACCACTGTGAGACAATGGAGGAGCGGCGGCCGTCTGTTGTCTCCTTATGTCTTGTGCACAGTAACCAGTGTCAGAATGTTTACTTGTGAGTATATATATATATATATATATATATATATATATATATATATATATATATATATATATATATATATATATATATATATATATATATATATATATATATATATATATATATATATATAATTAGTAGTAGTACCATGAACCAAATTTCGAAAATTTTATCTTTGCAATCAAAAGTTCAGATAATTCTAAGACACTTTTCTTCTATAACGTTTCCCTCGCAAATTACCTATATTATCATTGTTACAATTTCTTTTTCTTATTGTTATTGGTAGCCATTTAATTAAATGTTACTCGGTTGTTCTCTTTAGGACTACGGTAACACCTTTAAACCCATTCAAAGTCATTTAATTCCCTCATTTATTCGCATTCAAATTTATTTAAGTCCCGCATTTAATCTCCCATGAAACTGTTTATTGACGTTCATTTTCATTGATGCTATAACAGAAAATAAAAGTCTTGCATGGGGAACTTCTTTATTTTATTATTATGGTTGTAATACATAAGGAGGGTAAGAGGGAGGGTAGGAGTGTACTGCGCACATCATTGTCATTCCTAAAAACCCGTTTTAATTCATATTACGCTACATATTATTAAAAATCCACCGCGCTTGTAGAATCTCAGGAGAGACGTGTATTTCCCACCTGTTTTACCCTCAGGATCACTCCCAGTAAGTCCCGCCTTCGAACTCAGTTGTCACTACGTTTATTGCACTCTCTACTGGCAAACGCAACCTTGAATTAGTCTGTTTAAATCAACTTTAGTAATTCGCCAGACCTTTGTCAACTGAGGGTCATCTTTGAATAAGCAACAGTTAGTTTGTTGTGATTATTGTCATTGCGTGAGTAGCGATCACTGGCAACTCAGGGGTATATAAACTCAAGATGGCCAGGGAGCGCGTCCCCTGACGCTGCCCCGTTTGTCTCCAGGTATGTTCTGTGTTCCCTAGCCATTCAGTTAATTCAGTCAATTGTAGTGAATATCAGTGTTCATCAGTGTTCATGATTTAACAGTTGAATTGTCATTCACCCAGTGTGGGAGTAATATAACGTAAATACGTCTGTCGTCTAGACAAGAGAGTTTGTTGGTGTTGTCATGTTTCTCAGTCCCCTGACTCTGCCCCGTTTGTCTCCAGATCGAGGGTGGGCTTAATTGAAACCCACCGGTCGCTCGGAGCCGGTGGATACCCAGCAGTGGTCAATATAGGAGTGATGGCGCTGATTCGGCATGATTAATCGGCTCTACTCTACCTCGTGGGCCGAGGACCCCAAACCCACCTCGGGTCGGAGTGTAACCGACCACAACAGCAGTTGTTAGAGGCGCCAGTGCTATACCCTGGGACAGGCCTTGGAATTATGGTCCACAGTGTGGTTGTATGTGTTTTTTACCAGTGTGTTTTATAAGAAATAAATCAATTAAGACATGTTATGGTTTCACCCTTCTTTACCCTTATCGATCTGGTCAATGGAAAACCTAACCCAATGCCTAGTCCACTCTGCCCGCTACCTAACGAGCTACATGCTGTCCAGAGGGGGTCTGGTGGCAGCGACCCTTAGAAATTAAGATTAGAGTTAAGTTATCCCCTTAGACTTAGTGACCCCAGAATCTGGCAGTATAGGAGGAGGGAGTGGGGTAAAGGTAGGGAAGGATGGAAGATAGAAAGAATTAGGGAAGGAGGAAAGGAGGGTAGAAAAAGGGAAGGTAGAAGGGAAGAAGGTAGGCGCGATGGTAGGAGAAAAATAGAAGGGGAAAGGAGGGAGGGAGGATAGAAGTTCGGTAAAGGGGAAGAATAGAATGAGGTAAAGGAGGGAGGATAAAAGTTCGGTAAGAGTGTCATGGTCACGTTGACTGTTGATCTATTTAACTAGTGATTCTTATTAAACTCCACGACCGCAGAACATGAGTGGGTTAGTGACCCCCGAGAAGACGTGTTTTTCCCCATAGAGGCTACACTTGTGTTTCCCTCCCAGTGTCCCAAGACAGTTATCAATGCGTTGTTTATTCCACTTTCTCCTGGGAAGCTCAATCTTGAATTAGTCTGTGTATATTAACTAAAGTAATTCGCCAGACCTTTGTCAACTGAGGGTCATCTTTGAATGAGTAACAGTTAGTTTGTTTGTGATTATTGTCCGTGCGTGAGTAGTGATCACTGGCAACTCAGGGATATATATACCCAGGGATGAGGCAGGGCGAGCGTCCCCTGACGCAGCTCCAATGTTTCCCCAGGTATGTTTATGTGTAGCCATTCAGTTTGATTCAGTCAATTGTAGTGAATATCAGTGTTCATCAGTGTTCATGCTTCAACATTTGAATTGTCATTCACCCAGTGTAAGAAGTAATATAACGTAAATATGTCTGTCGTTTCTAGACCAGAGATTTGTTTGTGTTGTCATGCTTCGGTCCCCTGACGCTCTCCAATGTTTCTCCAGATCCCATTGTGATTCTTGCATCGCTCAACAACTGCCCCGGATGTAGTAGATACCCAGCAGGGACCATATATAAAACGATGGCACCGATGTGGCCTGATTAATGTGCTCCACTGCCTCGTTGGGCCAGACCCCAGACTCGCCATGTGTCTGGCTACCACACACAGTAACAACGGTCGTGAATCTCAGTGTTCTACCCTGGGACGCACCCTGGAAGTATATGTCCACAGAGAGTGTTGTAACATGTATGTTAGGGATAATTAGTTGGAAATAATTATCCCATGTTGGGTAGTGGACCCAGGTATCAGCTGATTTCATTATTAACGTGTATGTTGAGTAAGGTCTTGTAACTGTACTGAGAAGTACCACTTGGATGTTGAGTAAAGTAATCTACAATGAGTGCCATGTACTATGTATTGTGAGTAGGGCCAAGGAACTGGTCCTGCTATGCCATGCAATGTAACACCAGTAAGGTTGTGTGCATTGAGAGCATAAGAAAATAAGTAAATAAGAAAATAAGTAAAGAAGAAAGTACTGAGTCTGCAATAAGCCCAGGAGTTGAGCCTGGTAGTTATATGATTAATATTATATCTTTTTCCCTTTGATTTCATATTAATAAATTTGTTTTTAGAGTACTTTAGGTGTATTCATTTCTCCCACAGTAATTTACCTTTATTTCCGTCCAAGTGACATAATACCAGAATTACCATACCCATGTGCCTAGACCCTCGACCATGCTACCAAAAGAATGTCCATGCTACCAAAAGAATAGGTGACAGAACCGAGTAAGAGTAAGAACTAAGATAAGAGAAGTAAGTGAGATGAGGGTGGTGTAGAGGTGTTGGAAAACACACGCGCCCTCACAAGAGGGAAGAGTAGAAAGAGAGAATGGAAGAATCCTAGGAGGGGGGGGGGGTAAAATGAGGGTAGTGTGAAGGGTAGAAAGAGGGTAAAAGAAAGGTAGTAGAGTGAGTAGAAGGAGGGTAATATTGAGGGTAAAAAGAGGGTAGTAAGGATGGAGGGGGGAGGGAGGGAGGGAGGGATGGTAGAACGGATAGAGTGACGGAGGGAGGTATGGAGGGACGGAGGGAAGAAAGTGAGGAAGGGATATTTATTATATATAACAACGCAACCAGGATGGACCTTATCACTCTGGTCCATGATAACAAAGTACAAGAGATTTATATACGTCTATCTTGAGCGCACATCCTCTCTCTCTCTCTCTCTCTCTCTCTCTCTCTCTCTCTCTCTCTCTCTCTCTCTCACCAGAACAGGGTGGCAATATTGACAATATATATCTTGATTTTACCAAGGCTTTCGACAGCGTACCCCCATAAGAGGCTGAAAATTTAACTTTCTCCATGATCGCAAGCAGTGTGTGGTGAATACTGGTACGAAATCGTCGTGTGTCCCCGTGAAAAAGAGGGTTACCATAGGGCAGTGTATTGGGCCGTTGTTGTTTGTTTATTTCATAAATGACATGACATGCAGAAGCTATACACTTCTCCATACAAATGCTTGCGAACAATGCCAAGTTATTTAGGGAAATTAAGAACCAAACAGACTGTGAAGAGCTGCAGAAAGACCTCTGTAAGCTTCAAGAATGATCGAAGAAATGGCTGGTAAGAGTCAATGTCACGAAGTATAAGAGGAGGCACCTGGGACATACCGACGGTAAGGAGGCGTATCATATGTCCCAACGGGATGAAGAAACTGCATTAATAGAGAGTGAATGCGAAAGGGACCTGGGTGTGTATGTTGACAATTAACTTAAGTTCTCGGACCATTGTGAGAAGAAGGTGAATCAGGTAACTAAATTATTAGGTCTTATAAGAAGGTCGATCAGATATCTAAACGGTTCGTCCCTCATAACGATCTTCAAAAGTGAGGTGCTTCCCCGCCTTTCTGAAAATGTCCAAAGGAGGGCCACCAGACTGGTGCCTGTACTTTGGCACCTCAGCTATCCAGAGAGACTAGAAGGCATATAACTGCCTAGCTTATACTACAAACGGACAAGGGGAAACCTAATTGAGGTCTATAAATATTAAACCTCTCAGAGAACACTACTCAGTCGACTGTCCTTACCTGGAACTGACGGACGCCAGCGCCACAAGGGGTCACAGCTCAAGGTTGAAAAAGCTACAAGTCCAGAAAACTGTGAGGGGTAACATTTTCGGAGTGAGAGTTGTGAATTATTGGAACGATCTGCCAAAGTGTTGCGACGGCACCGAGTGTGAGCTGTTTCAAGACCAGGTTCAGATATATTCAGGAACCAGCGCATGGCCAGTATTTGGCAACAGCGCGTAACAGAGACGTGATCGACCGCCCAAGCGGCTAACGAGCCGATTAGTGGTGAAAAAGATAAAAGTAAAAAGTAAAACGGAAATATCACGACAAAAAATATTAAT